GACTGACTCTACAAACAGATCCAAGTTTTCTATATATATATATATATATATAGACATATATATATCTGTGCATTGTTGTTGCCTCCGCCGCAAATTTAATATGCAAGCTCAGTGGGCAAAGTGCTGGAGTTGCTGGCGCTCAGTTTTCAGCTTTCAGTCGGAGGTGTGCGAGTGTGCGTGTGTGCGAGTGTGCGAGTGTGTGGCGTGAAGTGAAGCCGAGTGGAGTATTCCGCTGTGGCTGCTGCTTTGATCTAATGCCGGCAGCTGCCTTCTCAATTACCCAACACGCATTGTTAACCCAACACAGACACATCATCATCTGAATATATATATATATATATATATATGTATATATCATATAAGATCTACATGTGAATGCGCCGTCGTCTTGCACAGTTTTTGTCTTTACAAATTTACCAAAAGTTTTCCTATTTATTCATATTTAAATGTTAACTTTAAATGTTCACAGCTTCCAAATGTTTTGTTTATTGCTTTATCAGTTTACATTCATATTATAAATGGGCAATTATTTAAATGATACTCTATAAAATTTCATTCTTTGTTGATGACAAATATTTATATGCAGCTATAAGACTTTCTCGCCTTTATCAAAGGGGAAATACTTTGGTATAGTTTTTTTATATGACTCTTTCTCTATCACTTTATCTGTCGCTTATCGCTGCCATTTATCTATCGCTTAGCGCAGTCCTATCTATCCATATATCCGTCTATCTATCCATCCATCTATCTATCCATCCATCTTTCTATCCATCCATCTATCTATCTATACATCTATCAGTCTATCCATCTATCAGTCTATCTATCCATCCATCTATCAGTCTATCTATCTATCCATCTGTCTATCTATCTTTCTATTTCTCTTATCTATCTAACTTTATTTTCTTGATATTTTATCATATTTAACCCTTTCACTCGCCGCGTTTTCCCTCCGTTCAAATACATTTTCATTTCCACATTCTATTTACTCAATTCACACAAAATTCACTTAACTTTAATTCACTTTGCCTGCCTTATCGGCAACACAAATTTCCCCACTTTTTCCTGCTTCTTCTTCTTGCTTTTAGCCAGCTGTTTTCAGTTTTTCCCATTTATTCTCTCTCCCTGGCGATTTGCATAGTTTAACCTCAACTCGTCCTCAACTCGAATATGTTCAAGTTGATCTCTTTTAGTCATTTTACTATGTGACGTAAGGCGGGTAATTCCAAGAATGACTGCGGAGAGAGGTCGGTGAGGGTGTGGACTTGTGCAGAGGGGAATGTCGTTCGCAAACAGTTTCGAGCTTTTCAAGTTTCTTGTTGCTTTTTATTTTGCTGTCTTTCTCATAATTTTGCAATGGTCGCGTTATCAGAACACGCAAAACAAATGCTTGTGAATGTCAGCGACGTTTGCTAAATACCCACTAATTTAGGTGCAATGGGGTATGCTGGATAAGTGTCAAGACGAGTTTATACAAAGTAAGGCGGCATATCAAAATCATTTTAAGCATTAAATGTGTCTTGATTTGGATAAAAAACCATGTTTAAATTCAAAATAAAAACATGTTGTTCCATATTAACCGATATTACCCGGCCTTGCTTAAAATATACAAATAATATTAAAAAAAATAATAATAAAAATAATTTATGAATTAAGTCTTGGTTTCTTAATTTAAACTAAACACTTTTAAAGTCAATATTTTTCATATGCAAACAGCTGGAATTTAATTTAAAAAACAATCAGTTAAATATGTTTATATTTATTTAAAAATATTTAAAACAATGCATAAATATTTATATTTTAATTTTTTTTTTTTTTGTTTTGCTTTGCTTTGTTTTTTTCTGTGTAAGGCAGCAATTATTTCTGCGCTTTGTTGACTTATTGCATTTATTCCCGAGGCTGCAGAACAAGACGTGAGGAGGTGGAGGTGGGTGAGGGGCGTGGCAAGGGGAGGGGCAACAAAGTATTTCAGAGACTTAATTACATGGAGGAAGTTGTTCATGTAGAGAAGCAGAAGAAGAGCTCGTAGAAGCCGTCAAATGCCATACAAAATCACGTTATGACAACACGTAATTGTCTGATTATGCAGTTTTATATATACATATAAATATGTAACTCGTAACTGTATTTGTATCTGTATCTGTAGCTGCGCCTGTAAATGTATCTGTATCTGCTTACACGAAAATGTGCAATGTGCGTGTTTTTTTCTCTCCATTGCATTTTTCATCAAGTTTATTGTGTTTGTTGATTTTCGTATATCTTTTTTTTTTCGCGCCCTGGGCATTGAGCATTGTGTATCTGGCAGATACTTGTACTGAAACTGAATACTGAAATACGTCAAATAAGAAAAAGAGAGAGAAGAGTGAAAAAATAAAACTTCTGCATAGGTAGGCAAATGGCGTATGGGACAGCTGCGCTTCACGTCTTGAATCCATTGTTGACTTTACCTTTAACAACAATTTTACACTCGTTTTGGTTTCGGTTTTGGTTTTGGTTTTGGTTTCCATCATATTTTCAATTATTTGACGTATTCAGCAGTTTCTTTACGAGCTCTCTAGAAGGCAAAGGCTTTTGCCGTCGATTTGTTTTGTTTATTTATTTTGTTTCGATTGTTTAGCTCTATTTGCGACTGACTCACAAATATCTTTCTTTGTATTTCTGCTCATTTTTGTTTCGATTGCGACAAACGCTGGACTTGAAATTCGCTTGAATTCTCGCTTGCGGCCAGTATTTTCCAATTGGCAACTGGATACGCGACGTGCCATAAACTGGTTGCACCTGCCTCTCACCTGCGGCACCATAACCCAATCGATTTTCTCTTGGACAGTTTTCAACTCCATTAGTGCATGTCATTAATTTGCAACAATTTTCCGCACAGAGAGTCGGGGGACCGTTAGAATATGGGAAAAATCTGCAGTGGAAAACTGTGCAAAATTTGTTGCTTAATAGCATTTTGATGGAAGCAAACGCCCGCCCCGCTGGCTAATCAATAAAAACCAACTATCAACAGCTTCTTCTTCTCCTCCCCAAAGCTGGCTCGGCTGCTGCTTCTTCTTCTTCTTCTGCCTGGTAAATTGTTATCAACTCTCGTTAGCCACTTGATTTATTATGAGCATCGGGTGCAGCTCTGCTCTTCAATTAAAACTGTATTAAATGCAAAATGACGTTTAAACCTCTTAACAGCAAAAAAAAAAAAAAGACTCCTGCTCCTTCTGGCCAAGAGTGAAGCGGTCTCAAACCGGTCGGAGGACAACTCAATCTTAAACGGCAAATCAATTTATGACTCTGATTAAAGCGACAGCTAATTGAAATACATTTTTACGCCTTGATTGACTGACTGATGCGATGCGATGCGATGAGACTCGACTTGACTGGGAGGATAAACAGTTTTCAATTCACGTTATTTTTCAATTTTAACCAAAGCCTAACGAGCCGGCAAATTGTTATAAAAACTTGTCTCGATTAGCAATCAATTGTAGCTCTGTTAGATATTCTACATTCTAAATAACATATTCATTTGTTGCTAAACCATCTCAATTATGTTTGTAAATCTAGAAAGTGTTTTTATTATGAATTTGACATGTTTATTGTTTAAATTCTTGACACAAACTTTAACACAACGAGAAAGTAAGAATATCTTCGATATATATCTATATAAACAGTATTAAAATTTGAACGTTATCGAATCCTAACTTCATCTAGAGCTCAACATGTGCCCAAGCTGATATTCTTTTGTTGTGGAGTTATTGAGTTTTTAATCCCAGAAATAGTTACGGGATTTGAGTTGCTTATTGTCACAGTTATTGGGAAAGTTTCAATATTCTTGTGACTATGTTTAAATTGCTTTATTAAAGTTCAACTCTGTCTAAAGTGCTTTATATTCGGCTATGTCTAAAAGGCGAGCCTCACGAAATTCAGCTGCGATTTGGCAAAGTTTTGAGAGTTTAAGTTCAAGTAAATCTATAAATATGTCTATAAAATTGTTAGATATTTAAACATAATAAAATTGTTTAACATTTTGTTTGCAAATTTAAATGTACAATCAAAATATTTGTCAAATGATGGCCTAAGAAGTATGCCTCCATCAAAATCACGTCCTCTTTGATGAAGTTAGGGCATATTTAAATGTGGGAAAGCATTTACTATAAATGTACTCTGTTTTTTTGTGCTCACAAGTTTATTCGTATTTATATTTTTGACAAGAAAAACGTAAAGAACTGCAAAATCTATCAAGAGGTTAAAAAAAGTTCAAAAGTCAAACGAAATCACGCCTGTTGAAGGTCTAGGAAGAGAATTTTAGATGTTTATAATCAAGGTTTAAAAATTATTCTTCGATATTCATATTCTGTTTTAGGATGCTGCGAATTTTCAATGCCTTTTTACTAAAGATTCTTCGAATTTTCGATACTATTTTAATTGAGATTCTTACAGTCCTAAAAACTGCTCTAATTAAAATTCTTCGAATTTTTTATGATGTTTTAATTAAAAGGATTTAAACATGGTACACATGCTAGACCCCAATTAAATCTATACCATTTTGAAGCATTAATACGATTTTAAAGCAAAGCTAAAGATAGGAATATATAACAACAGATTTGGAATGTTTCAAGTCAAGAATCAATCTTCAGCTCTTGCAACGAGCAGCAAGAATTATGAATAATACCATAAAAGTATCCAATGTCAGGCGTAGTGAGAATTCTTCCTGTTTTGTTGTTTAAAGTGCATTTAAATGTTATTTACCCGCAGCACGTTATTTTATTATTATTATTTTGTGACGCAGTTTATTGACGTTGTCGTCAACGCCTTCGCCCAGGGTCGCCGCCAATTCGCGCTGTTGTCAAGTGTGCAGCGAGTCGAGTTCAAGTGTCTATGCGACTACGAGAACGCGTCAAGGTCGCATTTTGCCCAGTTCGGGTTGTAAACTGATAAAAAATAATAATATAGAAATGATTTCACAATTCACAACTAATGTGCTATATATTATATACTCTATCTGTTAACAGGGCCGTCATACAAAAACTGGTCAGTTGGCTGCCATAAAGGTGATGGACGTCACCGAGGACGAGGAGGAGGAGATAAAGCTGGAGATCAATGTGCTTAAGAAATACTCAAATCATCGCAACATTGCCACCTATTATGGTGCATTCATCAAGAAATCGCCGCCCGGCAAAGACGATCAACTCTGGCTGGTTATGGAATATTGTGGTGCTGGCTCCGTTACCGATCTGGTCAAGTCGACCAAGGGTCAGAGCCTCAAGGAGGAATGGATCGCGTACATTTGCCGTGAAATCTTGCGCGGCCTCAGCTATTTGCATTCGAACAAAGTCATCCATCGCGACATCAAGGGCCAGAATGTGCTGCTCACCGACAATGCCGAGGTTAAACTCGTCGATTTCGGTGTCTCCGCGCAGCTGGATCGCACGATAGGCAGACGCAACACGTTCATTGGTAAGGCAAAAAGGCTTGACTTTGTGACTCATGGCCAAGTCGTTTAACTGGTTGCAATTTTTTTTTTCTGATAGGTACACCCTATTGGATGGCGCCAGAGGTCATTGCCTGTGATGAGAATCCCGAAGCCACGTACGACAATCGCTCGGATTTGTGGTCTCTGGGCATTACGGCACTGGAAATGGCTGAGTCACAGCCGCCGCTCTGCGATTTGCATCCGATGCGTGCACTTTTCTTAATACCACGCAACTCGCCGCCGCGTCTCAAATCCAAGAAATGGTCCAAGAAGTTTCACGGCTTCATTGACACGGTGCTAGGTGAGTCCCAAGTGCATAACCCATATCCAAAGTAAATATCTAAACATATTCATTTATGCTTGCAGTGAAGGACTATCACCAGCGGCCTTACACCGAGAATCTGCTGAAGCATGCATTCATCAAGGATCAACCGACAGATCGGCAGGTGCGCATACAGCTCAAGGATCACATCGATCGCTGCAAGAAACGCAAGCAGGAGAAGGAGCGCGAAGATTATCGCTATTCCGGTTCCGACAACGATGACGACGAGCCGCAGCTGGCCGGGGAGCCCAGCTCCATTATCCAAGCGCCCGGCGGCGATACATTGCGTCGCAATTTCCAGCAAATCCAGGAGGGACGCCTGGCCGCCGAACAGCAACAGCAGCACCATCAGCTGCTCGCCCAGGCGCAGGCACAGGCCGCCGCAGCACATGCCGCCGCCCAGGCGCAGCTGCATCAGCAGCAGCAGCAGCAACAGCAGGCGGCGGCAGCGGCCGCAGCCGCAGCGCATGCAGCCCAACAGGCGCAGGTGGCCCAACAGCAGCAGCAGCAGCAACAGGCGCAGGCCCAACAGCCGCAGGCCAATCGCCAACAGAAACCACCATCGGTTAGTGCACCCCATACCCAGATTCCAATTTGAGTTACTTGCGGCTAATTTGATTTAAATCTTTTGCAGCGCCAGCAGATCGAGGAGCCGGGTCCTCCGGCACGGCCACAATTGCCGCAGCGTCTGATTGTGGTGCCAGATCCACCGCACGCCAATCGGCCATTGCCACCGACACCCAAGTGCGGCGAGCCCGTGGCTCAAGCGCCGCCCCAACAGCAGCAGCAGCAGCAGCTGCAGCGCAGCTCGCAGACCAATTTCAAGCCATCGGTGCGTATTCACAATAGACAGAGATTACGACCCAGTGCCAGATAAGATGGGGCGGAAATCCAAAGCATTTTCCAGGGCAACGACTTTTACCGATAGTAAATAGTAAAAAGCCGTTCGCGATATCAAAAGCTAAAGCTGAGATCTGCTTAGGCAAACGGAAGTGGAAAGGTCGGGAGTAGCATAAAGTGTATAAAGAGTAGCAAGTGTTAACCGGCTTTGTCCGGTTGATCGAAATGTCAGGAGTAGAATGAAATGAAATGAAAGATTAGCATGAAATTTATATATGTGTATTAGGATTGGCAAGTATTGGCCGGCTTTGCCCGGGCCAAGAATTTTGCTTTATAGTTAATCAAAAGGTCAGGAGTAGCATAAAGTCAATGAAGAATAACAAGAACTTACCGACTTTACCCGGCCAGGATTTTTTTTATTATATTTAATGGAAAGTTCAGACATAGCAAAAATTGCTATATTTTATTATTATGCTGAATAACGTATTTTCTCAGATTTTCAAAAAGCTTTGTATTTTTAATGTAATGCAACTAAAATGAGTTTTGAAGCCAATTGGATTCTATCTATTTTTTATTAAAAGGGGAACTTAGGAGCTTAGTTTGTTGCAAATTTGAACAAAAGGAAGAGGTTGAATATATGTATATATATGTGTGTATATATATGTATACTATTTATATATAGTATAGATTATCAGGGAGTATTTGCGCTCTCAAGAAATCTTACGTACAAATTCACATATTCTTTCCAATTGTCGTGTAATACATATTCGTCGAAATAAATATTTTACCCCTTTCCAATAGTCGGTTAAAGCTACTCCTTATAATAGCCCCTGCCCTCTGTATACCCCCTCGCCCCCTTTGCGCAACTGCTAATTAGTAACTAAATGCCAACCACCCACCCCCCCCCCCCCCCTCTCAGACAGCTCAGCTCATTTATAATTTACCCCTGTAAAACCCGATCGTAATGTATTGTATTTGTATTTATGATATGATTTCTCAACTTCTTTTATTTTCATGTTTTGTGCGCCTACCATAACATATATAATCTATATAAACTATATATAATATCGACCTTATGATTTCGCTCATGTGTGTGTGTGTGTGTCTCTGTATTATGCGTAAATCAACCCGTTGCGTCAAATATATATATAAAACGTATAATTTCGATTAAAATAACACACCAAAAAAAAAATACCGTAAAAATACTATAAATACTAAATACACACGACAATCATAAAACAGTTACCACCAAGGAGACCTGAGGTATGTTTTATCATTTTCCGTTGTAGCCTGCTCGCTCGCTCCTCCTCTCTCTCTCTCTCTCTCTCTTTCTCTTTCTCTGTCTGTCTGTCTATCTTTCATTTGTGTATTTTATGCTTGTTTTACCATATACCATATATATATGTGTCTATATGTAAACTCCCCCCCCCCCCCCCTTTTTTGGAAGACCTGTCAAAATTCTGAAACAAAATTTACAACTTTTTGGAGGTACACAAAAAAATACTGTAAAGCGCTTACGTAACACTATAATACTATCATATACTGCCCCCCCCCCCCCCCCTTCCTACGCTCCTGCACGTGCCCACTAATCCACAGTAAAACAATACCCGACAAAAAAAGAAACACTTTCCATTTCCAAATGCAACTAATACCAAAAATGAAAACGAGGTTCTATAAATAGAAGAGTTGCTTTGATTGATGCGTTTGTAATGCCAAAAAATTAAATATATATATGGATAGAAATATATATATCTATCAGTATATATATAGGACTAACCCCGGCAAGTTTCATAGATAAAAAACTAACCGAGCTTTCTCTAATGTTTGGCCCTGTTTGTTTGTTTATCTATATAAGAAGTGAAAGGTGTAAACCAGTCTAATGCTCTCTTACTTTTCGTTCCACCCCAAAAACAAACGCATTTGCCCCCCCGAAAACAACAACTACAACTACAACAACAACAACAACAACAAAATACTGTGGTACCACGTGCAACACACACACACACACACTCAACACAACACACACACACACACACTACACTACACAACACACAAAAATCCTCCGTGTGCATTCGAAAACTTGACCCGAAATCTTTTGTAAAATACGAAACCAAATAAAATACCTGTAGGATCATTTGGATGTGTTAGCAGCACAATTAAATGAATTGGGCGTGGTCTCCTCCCAACAGCCGCAGCCACAGACAGCAGCAGGCGGTGGACAACAGCAGCAGCAGCAGCAGCTGGCACAGCCGGAGGCGCCGCCGCGCAGCAATCGACAATCGGGCGCATCCGCCGGCAACAACGGGGCCATCTGTGTCTCGGCCTCATCCTCGTCAGCTTCGAAGCCGGCGGCCGCTTTGCCACAGCAGGCGAACAATCATCTGGGACAGCCCGTCAATCCGTTGGATCCACTCGATAGCAGCGACTCGGACAGCGAACCGGATGAGCCCAACGATCGGGCACGCAACGATGGCACGCTTCTGGCCAGCGATCCGCCCAAGCCGCTGTAAGTACACCCCCCCCCCCTGCCCCTGCCCCTCTTTTAAAAGCACAAAACGTAAGGCGTGGCAAAAGTTTGCAATACAACAAAATGTTCCACATAAATATTTATTGCAAATCGCGCACAAACACGTGTTACATACCTCATACACATATATATATTTTGGGATTTGTTCCAACTTGGTTCTATTTGTGTTTCTAGAGTTATTTATGGGCCCATCGTTAAGCTATTTAAGCCTTAAATACTTTCGAGAACTTCTAAGAATAGTCAGCAGAATAGGCCAAGAATCGAATAATTGCTTTCTTAGGTTCAAAGTTCCATTTGATACGGCCGGTAATTCGAAGATCTTATAATATACAAATCATCGAGAAATTACTCTAATAACCGATTACAAAGTTAGCATCAATAAATTCACATCCCATTTATGGATTCTATGGCAACTCTGAACAATTTGTTTAATTCTCTAACACAAGAAAATCTTTAGTGGTTTCCAACACTGTTCTCAAATAATTGGAATAGTTATCTAAATAAGATTACTTGTAGCTTTATAATAGGAAATTTAATGGAAAGGTTGTCATAAGAAAGCACCTAAAATGTTGCTTGGAAAAATTTAGAGTTTTCCAACACTGTTCCCAAATAATTGTTTTCAAAAACCTTTTCAAATAGGATTAATTTTAACATTTAAATGAGAAAAATATGAACAGATTGCCATAAAAAACACGATCAATGATGCTTGAAAAACTTAAGGTTTTCCAACACTGGAACTTAGATAACAATAGAGTATTCTTAGAATCTACTACAAAAGCTGTATGTTTTCTTCATTATATATTCTCAACAGTTGGGACAATATTAATATATAAAAATATTTTATAGACTTGTTTTCGAGAAATTCCAAATGCTTGAAATTCTACATATAGAGTGAAAACCAAAACAAATTGATTTATTTCGGATATTATAAAAATGTACACAAATGTAAATAGAACCATTTGGGGAACTGAGCAATACTTTTGTAGAACTTGTTGCTATTTCAACCAATTCACAACATTCTCAACTTTCTCTCACCTATTATTTGTTATAAAAAAAAAACCCCAACCCGAAACACGCATCTCCCCTCACTTTCCACATCCTCACATTGTTTTCAATTATTTGCCGCCCCGTTTTTTGCGTTTTGTGTTTTCGTTTCTTTTTGGTTTTCTTTGTTTTGTTTTCGGTTATGTTCAGACCCGAATTTTCATATAGGCCCGGCCTGGGACCCGTTTCCGAGGACACAACAACAACAACGACGACCACACCGCTGAGCCACGGCAGCGGCGGACCACCAAATCGACCCTTGCCACCGACACCGGACGACGACGATCAGGCCGGAGATCGTACGCTGATCATGAAGCGCGTAAGTAGCTGCCATCCAACATTATCTATACATATATATATATATCATCCAAGTCTTTAATCTAATAATCTAGAACTTGTCTAGTTTCTTTTAGTATGTTTTCTTTTAGTTTAGTTTTTAGTTCAATTTTCCGTTTCTACTGAGATACGTTGCGAAGAATTTAGTTGCAGGTTTTTAAGCAGCTGTACAAATTGTAATTAGCTTTTATAGGGTTCAAGGTCTATAAAAGAAAACAAAAACTATATAAATTCCTATAAATATATATTAATATTATTCAATTAAAATCAACAACAACAAAAGTTTGGATGGTTGTGGTTCTATTTAGACAACTTTTTGCAGCAACTATTTTTATTTAACTCCTTTAACCAACCGATTTGAAGAACGAGTCCCTTTGAGTTTAGTTTCAACTACAAACTTATTACAATACTAAATACATATTTATTTATTTTGATTAGTATATTACTTTAAAAAAAAAAAACGCACATGGTATGAAACTTTTTTCGTGAATTTCTTTTGTACAAAGTTTTTATGAGTATTCCACAACTATATATCATTTTAGCCCTAGTCTGTGGCATTTTATATATTTCTTTTCCATTTTTCTTTAATTTTTTCATATGAATTTCGAATGTTCCTTTTGAGTTTTGTGTATAAAGTGAATTGCACTGGTGCATAGAATGTTTCCACGGGCACAATCCATACTTTTAAGAGCTGGACAACTAATCGATAAGAAGTTCAAAATACGCGCTTTCAAAATAAGAGAAAATGCTCATAATAAAATAAATATATAGTATATTAAAGGTATAATATGGATATATTTACAAAAATGATCGATAATTTACGGATAAACGATATTATATCGGTTAATATGCGGTTTTTCGATAATATATAGCATTAATGATCATTTTTGGATAACTTATCGCTCTATATGTGCTTTTTCGATCATATGTCTCATAAACGATTTATCGATAAATGTATCGCCATATGTAAAATATTTTGCTCTCTGTGATTTATCGATAATACGTATATCTGCGATAACGTGTCGCCAAATCTGTCATTTATCGATAATAATTGTTAGATATATCGATAATATTTACATTACGATATCGTTTTAATTCCTAATAATCGTTTTTTGACTTAAAGATAGTTTTCCAGCTCTAAATACTTACTTTCATGCATACATACATATGTATTGTAATATATATAGAGATATATTCAAGGCAAAAAAGTGCATCCGATTGGTTTCATGTCATATGGCACTTGATATGATATGTTATGATCTTTTATATATATATATTTAAACACCTTTTGCACCACAATGTGCATTATCCACCCCCACCCCTGTCCCCCACTCTCCCCTCCAACAAGCAAACACCAATACAAATAGCCCAAATCATATCAATATGACGTACATGCATACATGTATGTATGTGTGTATATATGGAATGCAATGCAATGAGAGAATTCATGAAAAACTTTCCATGCGGTTTTTTTCATACCTGGGTACAGATAGCCAAAATAAACTATACAAAAAAAAAATTAGCCTGTAGAACTGTAAAATGCAAGCAAACAAAAAACCTAACAACAATTCTTCTCTTGCGCTACTACTCACAACAACTACAACAACAACAACAACTATTCCCACAACAACTGTAAACAGAAATTAGAACAAAACATAAATCGCTTACAAAAATCGGCATCCACCTCGCATGCGCCAAAGCGAGCTGAAGACGCGAAGCTTCTGCGCGATTGGGACTTAGATAAATTCGTTTCCAAGAAAGTGAACGGCGGCGGCGGCGGTGCTAGCAGCAACAGCAGCGGCAGCGGCAGTAGCAGCACAGCCAGCCTCAGTCGCAGCTCGTTTTTGAGCACGCTGAAGGTGGAGGCAAAGCTGCAGCGCGCCAGCGTCGCCGAGGCCATAGCACGTCCCGTGCCCAAAGGCTTTCAGCCGCTTAAAGGCGCCAGTTCGTCGACTGGCGTCAGCATTGCCAAAGAGCGCAGCAGCAGCAACTCAACGCAGCAGCAGCAGCAGCCGACGCAACCGTCGCAGCCGCAGCACAAGCGCCAGGAATCCGACTCCAAGTTGCCGAGCTTTGTGCGCGGCTTTCGACGCGAGAATTCAGACTTTTTCCCGTTAACGAAGCGACACTCGGCGGTGCTCAGCGGCGGCGGCACTTCTGCCAGCAGCGGCGGCAACAATGCTCAGCTGCAGTCGCCGCAGCTAGTGCAAGCGCAGCGCGCCAGTGCCATGTACCAAAGGAACAGCATTTACAGCAGCGGCAGCAAGGAGAGCAGCGCAGCCGCAGCTGCTGGTGCTGCCGCCGCTACTACTGCTAATAAGACCAAAGCGACGTCCACTGCCAGCAAGACAACTACAAAAACAGCAGCAGGCGGCGCAGCAGCTAGCGTCGCAGCGCCGACAAAGTCCAGTTGGGCCAATTTAGATTTTCTGCGTCCGCGTCGCGAAAAGACTGAGTCTGTCATTGTGCTGCACAATGCAGCGGCCCGTGCGCAGCAGCAGCTTCAACAGCAGCAACAACAACAGCAGCAGCAGGTAAACGTTCTCAGCACGCACGCATAAAAAAAACAACTGCAGATGAAAAACAAATATCAAATATCGTTCATTATTGTGTTTTGTCTTGGCGCCAGAAACGTAAACCAAACCAAACTACTTGAAAACAAATCAAGAAAACAACAACAACAACAAAAAAATACCAAGCGTAATGCAAATAAAATTTACCATTTGGCTAGAATTCCGATACTCACCGCAACACAAACACACACGCACACACATACGCATCGCTCTCTCTCTACCTCTGTCTCTGTCTCACAACTCACCCACTACATCTCTCTGTTGCTCGCTCTCTTACCTGCCATTGCCCATGCAGCAGCCGCATACTGTTAATAACATTGCACTAACAGCTCGTAAATAACAGAGCGTACGCATAAAAACTAGACAGAAAAAAGTGCTAAAATTAAACATTTTTTGCCGTTTTTTGTTTTGTTTTATAAACATTTTTTTATTGTTTGTTTTTCTGCCTTGCTTTGAACTTCCCCAGCATGTTTTTATTTTTATTGCATTTGCATTTGTTTTCTAATCAGAACGGGCAATTAATTCTAATTGGAAACATAACCTTCACATAACATTAAGCAATTTTGGATGTAAGAGTCATTTTATATGCCATTTATAAAGCTATATGGACATTTTATTGCTTGACTTATAACATATTAATAACATGCATTGGGTAGACGGTCGAATAACGGTACTCTACTATCGTATATGTATATAATTTTACCACGCCATATAAAAAAGAACAAAAGTATCGAATGCTAATGAGATGCTAAAAAAAACGATTTAGCTTTAAATTTGGCAGGCTTAACTCTTAAGCTTTAATATACCTTATCGTGTAAATAACGTCATTATCTCATGGATATACCATATATTAAAGTTTTAGCATGGGAAATGTTTGAGCTAGATTATAATAAAAAATACAAATATTGATAGAATTTGTGGGATTGTGTAGGAATTGAGGAATTGAGACTATTCAGTATTATCTATGCTCAAAAGTAGACAGCAAATATTTTTCAATATATTTTTATATATAATTCTTCTTGTTAAAAGTTCTATCTAGAACTTAAATCTGTTAATCTTAAATTTATGGAACTTAAAGCTGAATATATGTTGGTTTGTGGCATATATTATAGTTGAAAGTATTATATATATATGTCATCATAATCAGGACTTTATCTGAGCTAACTTTTGCTTTAAAATCTCGTGTGTAAAATATTTGCTTAGCTTTGCCAAAATTCATGCATTTGCTCAAAATTGTTTTAAAGCTTTTCCGTATTATATGGATGAAATTTTCGAAAAAAGTTTTCTTGGTTTGGTTGCCCTTAAATAAAATTGTTAATGAAATTTAGAAACCATTCGCAAATTTTTGTGCGAATTGAGCAACGTTTTGCCTGCTGCCGGAGCCTGTGCAGCTAACCCCCCCTTCCCCCCGTCCCCCTCCGCAGCAGCCCCCTCTCAGAGAAAGTTGCGCTAAACTAAACTAAACTAATTATAAGTGCCTTTTATGTGTGTTAAACTCCAAAGAATCCTAGCTTTAAAACAATTTTGAAGACGTAATCAAATGTTTTAGTTCGTAAGCTTTTTTAGTGTTTAAAGTTGAAAAGTTGAAAAGTTGTTGAAGAGAACATTTTGTAGGCGTCTCAGTATCTCATTGGCATTCATTTTGCTTACTCTCGTGTCTCCCTCCCTCTCTCTCTCTCTCTCTATCTCTCTGTCTGTCTCTCTCTTGCTCTTTGACTCTTTCAATTTGTTGTTTATTCATTACCTTTTTTGTTGTGTTACCTTTTCAAATGCGTTTTTAACCTCCACATTGCCGTTTTTAATTTCATTTCGTTTCCAAATTGATGACGTCCATTTAAAACTTTTGTAAAACCTTTCTCATATGCATATACCGCTCTCTCTCTCCCTTTCTCTCTCTCTGTCTCTCTCTGTCTCTCTGTCTCTCTCACCCTCTTCGTTTCTCTATGATAGAATCGCAGCGTAGCCGGCACTGGGTCCGGCGGGGACAACAGCGGCCTCGGCACCCCCGGCACCCGGACCAGCAGCGTCCTGCCCGATCTGCTCAGCCAGGCTTCGCCGGCGACGCCTCCGCGTCACGATAAATCATCCAGTGAGGAGGTGAGTATCGATTAATGATCCATTTATAATCGTATTTATCAACCGATTCGATATTTCATTGTGTGTTTTGTGCGTTCAACTCGGTTTCCAGAGTTGCCAGTTTTTGTTTTTATTTTATTATTATTGTTATTTGTCTACTCTTTTTTTTTATTTTTTATGATTGTTAACTGTCCTATGCAAAAGAAAAATCCAGCTAAATATCGACTCATGCATCGTCTTAATTGTTTTCAATTTGTTTTTGTGGGTTCTCAATTAAATAAGTAACAAAAGTCGTTCAATCACATTGATTGAAATCATTAAATCAGCAGCCATTTCGCTTGACAAGCACTTAACATTCTGTTAACTTAACAGAAATATTCTTACAGTGGGTCATTGTTTCGCATTTTGCGGAAATCGTCTTCCTTAATAACATCAAATGAAAGTTATATTTTTAAATTCCCTTTTCAAAATAAACCTACTGTAGCAGAAAGTTTAGTTATTTTTTATATGTTTTATTCGTTTTTTGCTTTAAACAAAATTATACTGACCTATTCGAAATTATCTAACCCATCAAATGTGACTAATCCAAAAGAATATCTTAGCATAAACATGTTTCTTTGACGTGGAGCAAAGCTCATTATGAAGAGCGCGTAACGAAAATGTCAATTTAAATAAATTGATCAACAATTTCCGTAAAATGAAATATTAAACAAACAAAAAATAGAAGAAATGTGCATGCAATTCGCAGCTTTTACAAGTGCATGTCCTTTTAAATGAATCAAAACCAAATGAATTTTAAATTTAACCAGATTAAAAACGTTACAAAAACTTTCTTCTTCTTAATTGTGCTTTGTCTTTCCACAACGTTTGAGCTGATGGCCACTACGATATATTCTAACAAATTACAAAATACAAATCAATTACCAAACAAACCAAAATTTACAATAGTAAGTATGAAAAACAACAACAACAACAACATCAACAATAGCAATTGTTTTCGAACAACAATGCAAAATACTCTTCTAAAAATCTAAAAAATAAAAAAATATTAAAAGTATACCAACTCCCAACAACTACCAAACTTTTGTGTATAGTTTTATCATTTCCAACAAATTCTAATTAAATTTTACAATGTGTCATGTGTTACTGTACATATTATTAAATGTGTGCAGGGCTTCTTAATATTCACTTGTATTATTTCGCACCAGAAATGTCATGTTATGTTATTGTCTCTTTGTATATATATATATAATATATGAATACATGTTTCTGTTATATGTTTGCTAGCCAAATGCACTGCTGCGCCCACTGTGGCCGCACTCACTCTCCCTCTCTCTCTTGCTCTCTTGCTCTTTTGCTCTCTTATTTACCTTGCGTTGCATAGCAGGCAGCCTCATGTCACTGTCACTGTAACTAACATTTCGTTTGCCGCCGCGCTGTTAACGCACTGTACACATTGCAGACGCCGAGGGCGATGCTCCTCAATTACTGTAAACCAAACCTGTATAATTCTTATTGTTTTTCAACACACACACACACACAAACACATGTCTACACAACCAAACACACAAATCAATATGTAAACTTTATTTAAAGTTTAATTTACCATTGGCCTCTGGGGAAAGACTAATCACATTTTATTTTGTTTTATTATCGTTAACATTTTTTCCAAACATTTCTCGGCTCTGTTTTACATTAATGCAAATAAATATATATATATTTTTGGCTATTGTTTTTATTTTAATTGTCGCTAGCATACGCAGCACACAATATTTAACCAATCCCACACACACACACACAAACACACACACACACACCTACCCAAGTACCCCTCAGCATGTTTAATTTTTATTAATGAATTTATTTTGTTGACAACTCGAAGACTAATTGAAATTTTTTTCTTGCACTTTTTCTATTTTCTTTTCTCTTTAATTACAACAAAAACCAAAACGAAAAAAAAAACCAACAACAAATCAATCAATCAATCAATCAATCAATCGATCAATCAAATAAAGTATCAAGCGGCCATTAGTTCATCCGTGCATTCCACGCCATCGAAATCGTTTATCGCTAGCAGCAGCAGCGGCAGCAGCAGCGCCGCAGGCGTCGCCGTCGGCGTTGGCGGCCACGGTCATGGCGGCGGCAGTGTTGTCGGTGGCATAATTATTAGTGCTAATAATTCACCACAGTCAACCATATCGCTTGCGTCGTCCACATCGAATTCGCGACAAAATTCGCCTAAGAATTCGATTAGTAAAACGCGTTCTTCCAGCAGTATTACTAATTTATTGCATAAATCTGCTTCTTCCTCTTCTGCGAACATTCTTCACCTCTCACCCTCCTGCTCCGTCGTCTCCACCAACAATACCGTTACATCTAACGCCCACTTGCCACCGCATGCGTACGCGCTGCAACAGAAACAACGCAGCTTTCTCACCTTTGGCTTCGGTGCCGGCGGCTCCGGTCCGACACGTCGCGAATCCACGGTCAATGTAAATGTGACGCCCACCTCGCATGAGGCGGCCAATGATACGCCCGAAATCCGTAAGTATAAGAAGCGTTTCAACTCGGAAATACTGTGCGCCGCACTCTGGGGCGTCAATTTACTGATTGGCACCGAGAATGGACTCATGCTGCTCGATCGTTCCGGCCAGGGCAAGGTAAGCCGGAAAAAGCTAAACCAGTTGTGAACCTAAACTCAATCCTCTCTTTAAAACAGGTCTATCAGCTCATCTCGCGTCGCCGTTTCCAGCAAATGGAGGTGCTAGAGGGCCAGAACATATTGGTTACCATATCGGGCAAAAAGAATCGCGTGCGCGTCTATTATTTATCCTGGCTGAAGTCCAAGATCTTGCGCACCGACGGACTCTCCGATGTGAGTGGATACAAATGAATAGCAAAGAAAGGGAAACTCTTTTCTTTATACCCTGCACCTATCGCAGCTGGGCTTATTGATTTTGTGCTTATGTTTGCGACAGGCTAAAGAAACCATGTCTATATATATTGTTGATCTGAATCGATTTAACTATGTCCGTCTGTCATTCTCTCTGAGCTCGTCGATCTCGGAATTCGCAAAAGCATTACTATGGAAATTTTTAGATATATATTTTCCTACAACATAAGCAGAAAGAATTTTATCAATTCCTATTCTCTATATCATATCATGTCAATATCTTTTTCATTATATTGATAAATTATCGACTTAGAGACTTGGTTTTTGAAGCATAACTCGAAAACTTTAAGAGTTCACGTATAGTGTATCAAGATAGAGAATGTGTCACTTTTTAGACAACACCTCGATTGCTCGAATACTTTTGAAGGTATATCTTTGGGCTGTGGTATGTAAACACTCTGGAGTGTCATATTCAAGCTCTGAAAATTTCACAACGATCGGACTGTAAACACCGAAGTTAATTAAGAATGCATTTCCTATACATAGTATGGGGTAAAGCGAAGAAGAAGCACAGCGGCTGAATGAAGCGCGCTGCTTGCGTGCATGTGTTTGTGTGTGCGTGTACGTGTGTGTATATATGTGAGTGTATTTGTGTATGCATCTATAAAAGAAAGCGTCAGCTTGTCCATGGTTTCAGGGTATCTGCTAGTCGGGCACATCCGACTAGAGAGCACTTTTTTATTGTATTAATGTTTGCTCTTTCTTTTCCCCCTGCCCCTTCCCCCCTCCGCGCCGCGCCGCGCCGACAGCAAGTGGAGCGTCGCAACGGCTGGATAAATGTGGGTGATCTACAAGGTGCTGTACATTTTAAGATTGTCAAATACGAGAGGATTAAGTTCCTAGTGATTGCATTAAAAGACTCAATTGAAATTTATGCATGGGCGCCCAAACCATATCACAAATTTATGGCATTTAAGGTGCGTGCCATAAACTATTTATCTATATATATATATAAACTAGAGGATCTATAAATAATGGTGCATTTCGTTTAGAATTTTGGTGAACTGGAACATCGCCCCCTTTTGGTCGATCTCACAATTGAGGATCAGTCGAGACTGAAAGTGATTTATGGTTCCGCTGAGGGTTTCCATGCGGTTGATTTAGATTCAGCTGAAGTATACGATATATATCTTCCTAAGCATGTAAGTGGCGCATGCCATACTGATTGGATATACCCAGTAAATGCGAAACATCATCTCCAAACACAGACTCAGGGTGCAATCATTCCCCATTGTATTGTGGCGCTTCCAAATTCAAATGGCATGCAACTCCTTCTGTGCTATGACAACGAAGGCGTCTATGTCAACACTGCCGGTCGTGTATCCAAGAACATTGTGCTGCAGGCAAGTGAAGACCACAATTTCTCAATCGATTTAAGATTAATCTCCATTTTGGTGCTCTTTCTTTTCAGTGGGGTGAAATGCCCACCTCGGTGGCCTACATAGGCACGGGACAAATCATGGGCTGGGGCAATAAAGCAATAGAGGTGCGTTTGAATATCTTTTTATACAGATAAATACAAGATAACTGAGATACTTGCCTCGTCTTGTTTTTAGATACGTTCCGTGGAGAGCGGCCATTTGGATGGTGTGTTTATGCACAAGAAGGCGCAACGCTTGAAATTCCTTTGCGAGCGCAATGACAAAGTATTCTTCAGCAGTGCCAAAGGTGCTTCATCGTGTCAAATCTATTTTATGACGCTCAACAAGCCGGGCATGGCCAATTGGTAGAGCCGCACACACACACAGCGCATACCCTTCCGCAACATTTTTGGCAATCCGTGATCCGTGGTTCCAACATTCAATATTCAAAATAACAACAAACATTTTCTATATATTTTACAACAAGCTTACAAAAGAAAGCCAACAACAACAAAAAATATCTAAAGAAAACACACACACACTCTCACACACACACACACACACACACACACATAAGAACATTAAATCGTTTAAGTAAAAAGTGCATAAGTTCTAATGAGAACATCCTATTACACACACACACAACCACACACTCACACACACACACTCGTAAAGATGTGCTTATGAAAGAAAGCAAAGGAAACGTTTCAATTAGTAAATGTGCTATAAAAAGTTAATCTTCAATTGAGTGCACAATTTTAGGCGAGCGTTAAGCAATGTATTTAAAAAAAACAAGAAACAAAAAGAAAGAGAAAGAGAAGAAAAACGGCAAAGGGAAAAACCAACAGGAAACAAATTTTCCAAGCTCACTCGTCGAGGTTTTTAATTTTTCCCCAATTCATGTTTTGATTCAAACAAGATACAACACATGCATATGTATTATAAGGATTACATAACTAAAATCTAAGCAAACCAATTGAATACGCAGTTAATTTGTACAATGCACATTTATAAACAATTTCATTTCAAATGTGAATTTAGAATTGTGTGCATATATTGTTTTTCTACTTAATATATATTTTTTGCCTACAACTTTGAATATAAGTTCAATAAATCGCCGGAAAAGCGAAAGCGAAAATAAACCAATTGCAATTAATTTTCTGTTGATAAAAAATGTCCGCGAAACAAACTATTTGAAATTAATTTTGTGCAACTTTTCAATTTATATAAATTATAAATAAATGTCTCTGTTTGCTCAGTTTTATGAAAAGTAAAAAACAAACAAAAAATTAAAAAGCGCCATTGTAAAAACTAAGTGATAAACAAAAGCAAGTAAATAATATTATAGAGAGCTGAACAAAAACAGAAGAAAAAACAAAACAAAATGTTATAAGCAAAAGTCGCAACAATTATGATTGATGAGTATATGTGTACAATAAAAAACAAAAATGAAAACAAACCGAAAGCAACACAAACAACACAAAATTTTTGAAGTTACTTATGCGACAATTGATTGATAGATTGATCCGATTGATTGATTGATCATATTTGAAAGACAACTAAACTTAGCTTGATAACAAGATTGGAGGAAATTCGATGAACCTAGTTAAGCTGCATTTTTTACTGAACTTTTATACAGAACCTTACAAAGAAAAAAGATGATACAAAATTCTATAAAAAGCTAGCATGTTAAAATTGATAAAAAGAAAGACGAAAGAAAAACTCAATTAGAGCTAATAATAATTGAAAGGAAATCCGCTTGTGTGCTGTGCATCAATTTCTGTGTGTTCTTTTTTTAATGTGTGTGGAGAATTTTTTAAAGCTTAATTATTTAATGGCTACGTTGCAATATACAAACACACACACACACACACACATTCTCTAGCGATCGGCACACACAACAAAAATATCAATTTGCAATATATACACACACACACACACACACACGTACATATGTCAAATTAAGCTGGCAGTTAATGCTAAAAGAAAAACTTATGAATTATTCTTCCTTGTTTTGTGTTGTTTTCACATGTGCGTCCCTCCCAAGCAAAGCAAAAGAAAATGAAATTTAAAAAGAAATATTTAAAATATTGTTTGTTTTTTGTGTTATAAAAGAAACGAAGAAAAAAATAAATGTATACCCCGTGTCCCCCATATTTAATAATGTTCTTTAAACAAAATGCACTAAACTGCAATTAAAAACAACATAAAAAAAAAAACCGAATTAGTAATAAAATGCTTACTTTATTTCTAAAATAAAACAAGTAAATTGATGAACAAATGAATGTAAATCTAAATCGTAAAAAAAAATTATTATATATATAATCTCAAAATTAAAAAAAAAATAAACAAAATCAACTGCAATTTAAATTTAGTATTTTCGATCACGCGCAAATTGTACTATTTTAATCGATTAACGATAAACGCATGTATTTAGCAACACTGTAATGTAGCGAACAGCTGACGGAAAACAGCGTGAAGTTGGCAGCGCTGCCTGTCATACTTTGACAATATGCTTCTGTCTTCCTCTTCTCTCTTTTCTTTTTTACCCGAGCATCGGTAGGTGTCGACTCCTGAAATGATAATCGAAAATTTAATAACGCAAACTGCAACATCCAAAATAAATAACAAACAATATGTTTAAAGTGTGTCTTAAGCTTGTGTATGCATGAAATATTTGTGAATAATTGGCAGTCTGTGTGAAATAAAATGACTCAACGACCTGCTGTCTGCTGATGGATAAACATTAATTGGATTGATTTTTTCAATTGTAGAAATGGGTCGTGTAATTCGTGCACAGCGTAAGGGCGCCGGTTCCGTCTTCAAGGCGCACGTCAAGAAGCGCAAGGGAGCCGCCAAGCTGCGTTCTCTGGACTTCGCCGAGCGCTCTGGCTACATTCGCGGCGTTGTCAAGGTAAGTGGTTTTTTTTTTCGTGGCATGATCTGGCAACACCGACACATGGATATGCTAAGCTAATGGTTTTTTATTGTTTTTCTATTTGTGTAGGATATCGTGCACGATCCCGGTCGTGGCGCACCCTTGGCCGTCGTTCACTTCCGTGATCCCTACCGTTACAAGCTCCGCAAGGAACTATTCATCGCCCCCGAGGGCATGCACACCGGCCAGTTCGTCTACTGCGGCCGCAAGGCTACTCTGCAAATTGGCAATGTGATGCCACTGAGCCAGATGCCTGAGGGTACCATCATCTGCAATCTGGAGGAGAAGACCGGTGATCGCGGCCGTTTGGCGCGCACCTCTGGCAACTATGCCACCGTGATTGCCCACAATCCCGACACCAAGAAGACCCGTGTCAAGCTGCCCTCGGGCGCCAAGAAGGTCGTGCCCTCGGCCAACCGCGCCATGGTCGGCATCGTTGCTGGCGGCGGTCGTATTGACAAGCCCATCCTGAAGGCCGGTCGTGCCTACCACAAGTACAAGGTGAAGCGCAACAGCTGGCCTAAGGTGCGTGGTGTTGCCATGAACCCTGTGGAGCATCCCCACGGTGGTGGTAACCATCAACATATTGGTAAGGCGTCGACAGTCAAGCGTGGCACATCCGCCGGTCGTAAGGTCGGTCTTATCGCTGCCCGTCGTACTGGTAGGATTCGTGGTGGCAAGGGCGACAGCAAGGACAAATAAACAACAACAGGAGCAGCCCGTTCCGTCTGAGATCAGCGTAGCGCTGTTTGCTATAATTGTGCATATGTATATGGAAAAGCTGTATGTGGTCAACATGCAATTTACGCGACGGAATAAAATTTATTTCTAAACAACAAACTTGCAAGATTTCTAATACATAAATCAATTTAATGTAATTGTAATATAATCATCAGAAGTTATTTGGAGAGGAGATATATAATTAGAAAGGAATAACAGTTCGTCATAGTCAAGTTCCACCGTATACCATGTTGGATTATCGATATGATGCTGCACATAATATCGGATTAACATGTTATGGTTTAACAGCATCGATAGCCTCGGTGAGTATAAAAACATCGACTAGCTGTTAGGTTTATTGTATGCCAATGTAAATGTTAAGCTAGCAACAGATTTTCATGCTCTAAGCAGCCGATAAATTTTAATAATCGCGCAATTTTACTTATCTAAAAATTGCTCTGACTGTTATTGTCAACATTGCACACAGCATGGCAACCCAAGTGGCAGTAACTGTTAGCACTCGCTGTTCAATAACAGAGGCAGCACATGTTAAATGCGGTGCCACTGTTAGGCTGCTATTAAAATAATGAAAATAAATGCGCGAGTGTGTTGGTGCGTTGTTGTGTGCGGACAGTGAAAAATCAAACAGATATTATAATTATAAATAATCGTGCGTACAAATAAATAATGGATAGCACATTCCACGAAGGATGGCTTATAAAATCGCCGCCCTCAAAGCGCATTTGGCGTGCTGTAAGTTTATTGACCCACACACGCAGCACCAAAGCATATTTTTTTTTTGTCTTAGCCCCAATGCAAATAGCAAATGTTCAGTGAAATGTGCAAATTGCAAGCTGCAAGCAAAGCATACGGTAAAAATGCAGCAACAACAACAACAGCAGCAGCATGGAAATAGCATTTAACTGTTTTTTCCGCTTGTTCTACACTGAGTCATGCAAAGAAACGCACCAACCAGTGGCATTTTTGTACAATTACGCTCTGTATACATTTTTAGTGTGTTCGTGTACGATGGTGTGTGTGTGTTTGTGTGTGAGCGTATTAGTGTAGTAGTGATCATTTGTTTGTTGTTGTTGTGTGTCCGATAATCATTTTTAATTCATTAATAAGCGGCAGACGGGCTGGGCATGGCCTGCATGGCTGATGATATCGAGTTGTTGTTGTTGTTGTTGTTGCTCCTGCTGCTGCAAATGCTTGGCGAAGTGATTGAAAAGCAAAACAAGCAAAAGAAAACCGCAAGCCAGTTGTTATTGTTGTTGCTGTAAATTTGTAAACTGTGAATGAGCTATTTTCAATAGCTGCGCCTGCGTGTGTGTGACTGTGAGTGTATGTGTGTATAGCGTGTTTGTGTGTATGTGTGTTTTGGCGTGGGAACATTTTGTGAGGCTGCCCTCAAAGTTTACGCTTAATTAAATGTTTACCGTGCGCTAACCGTTAAGCGCCGCTAGCGGCGTTGCGTATTAAATTACAACTGTTGAGCAACTGTTGCACGTTTAATCAACATTTTGCTCCCAAAGTAGAAAGTGTTGCCCCAAGCACCAAAAAAAACATGAAAACACAAAGCAATCAACAAGGCCTTTGGTTTTTGATACCCATTAAAAATGCTTGAAAATGGGTTTAATTGATTTGGGTATGTGTATGCAACAGGCAGGCGGAACAGCTTCTCCGATTCCATTGTCTATTCTTGATCGCGACGAGGAGCTGAGCTTTATCTGTGTAAGTCCTATACAGCTACTTTTAGAGCTACAAAATCGATAAATATCGATTTTCAGCAAAGCTAGCCCCGATTTTTCGCTTTAAATCCTGCGTTTATGGAATGTTTGTGGAGAAGTACGAATTAAGACCGTTTGGAAGTGGGTACACTTGGTATGTTCTAGCCGGGTATACCCGACTCTTGTGTGTCTCCGTACGTATATCTGTATATCCGCATGCTTGTATAAAATGTATGTCCATTCGATAAGCCACACAGCACGCACAAACAAAAATGACGCACTTGTCGTTCCTTGTTGCTGTTGTTGTTGTTGTTGTTGTTGCGGTTGTTGTTGTTGTTGTTGCCTTTGTTTTGGTGCATTAAGGCAGGCCTTATATAGGGGCTAACCATCCTATCCATGCCCATCCCTAGGCCAATTTGTATGCCAGGCGCTTAAACAAAATTAGCTGCTTAATATTTATGTTTTTTTTTCTCTTATAGTTTTTTGTTGCGGCACCTCAGGGTGCCAATTTCTCTATAACTGTGTATGTGTTTGTGTGTGTGTGTGTGTGTGTGTGTGTGTGTGTGTGTGTGTGTGTATGTTTGCGTGCGTGTGGCATTATGTTTATTGTTTATAATTGAATTAAGCGTGAAACTGTGCAGACAACAATGCAAATTTGTCTGGCAAAAAAAAACATGAATAACAAGAGCTAGCAGAAGGGCGAATACCCTTTGTTTAATTTAAAAATATATATACAGAGTATGATATCAGATAGCTAATAGTTTCTTAGTACAGTGATCGCATGTTAAAAAGAATTTGTATAGAAAATTGGCATTTAACATGCATTTCAATTTAAAGTTTCCCTTACGGAGATCTCGTTTGTTTGAATATATAATTTTTAAATATATTACAATATTTTATATATTCATAAAAAGAATGGGAATTAATCACCTTTAGCGAGTGACTACTGTATATCGTATCATCCCCTTTTGTGCTGCGGCACACGAACTGTGATCATGTCATGAATCATAATTTATTCCAATGTCTCATCTGCCAAGCATAATATATATTCCAATACCAGTTCTTGAGTCATTATAGCGCATCATGACTGTGCTGATATGCCTGCTGAATGGAGAAAGGGTATTCCATTTGTGCCTTTTTCTTGTTATTTGTGCCAATAATTGGCATTGTTCCAGTTTCGTCGATCAAGATTATGCCAAGAATTTTTCCCTTTTTTCCAAATTAAATGTAAATAATAAGAACTCTGACGTCTTTAACTTGTATAGAATTTATAATGAAACGAGCAAGTGCATTATATAGAAGCTATTTATAGCACAATCAAATGAAGTATTAAAATAGCCTAAATCTTAAATGCAGCTGGAGAAACTTGTAGGAGAAAAACTGAAATGGGTTTAGTTATAGGTAGAATAAGAGTTAGAAAGAGTTTATTACTTTCCGGGTAGCAAAACCCAAAAACATTTTCACTGATTCAGTTTTGGGGTGGTTTTAACCAAATACCTGGATCCATAAAGCTAAAGTTTGTATATTTATGAAAAAGTCGTAAAACTTTTGGAATTAAATAAGATATTTACCCAAGATTTGCATGCATGAAATATGTTTAGATAGATAGTTAGATAGTTAATATTGCGATTCGGTTAAGTATATCTCAAATGTTGTTTAACTAGAGACAAATACATTTTGAAAATTAAAAGTGTTTCGGTTCGGTTCGGTTATCGGTTTCGCTGCGGATTTCTTTTAAAACTCATTTCATATAAAAACAAATTAATTGGAATTCCGAACCGTTTCGGTTCAAAGCTTACCTAAATTACCTTACAGGGTATATACCTAGTCTAACACGCTGTGCTAGCGCATTCTCACTCTATTTTTTATAAGAAAACGTAGCACGTTAATCGCAAATGAAAAGCGCGTGATGCATTGGACTTCCGACTTTCGTTTGGAGCCGCTCGATCCACGTACTGCCCAGCTGAAAATTACACTTGTTTTTTGTAAACATCAGTGGAAACTGCATTGATAAGAAAAAACGAAGAGTATTAGGCTGTTCGTATGCCCAGCTTGCGCTTGGCCCTGGCTAAAAAAAAGGGGGCCACTTCGCTCGACGGTGTCAATAGACTCTCTGCGTTCCGGCCAGCTGTTTGGCAATGTGGGTGTGAGCCGCTGATTACTCAAGAAAATGTCAATGTAAACACGATTCGCGGAAAAGCAGCAGCGACGTCGGCAGCGACGTCGGCAGCGACGTCAGCAGCGCAGCTGGCAGCGTCGCTTACTCACCGCTCGCTGCTGCGGCTGATAGCTGCCCGCCCAAGCAAGCTGCCGCAAGCTTATCGCAGTCGTGCAGCGCCTCTCATATCCAGCATATGTTGGCTGACTGACTGACTGATTGACTGACTAGCTGATTGACGGACTGTCTGCTGTACAGCTGTTCGGACTGCGCCCCGTTGCGCGCTTATCGTGCGAGAACTCAAGTGTAATTGTTGTTCGCTTTTGCAGCGCTGGCGTCGTCGCTGGTTTACACTGAAGCAGGGCGAGATACCGGAGCAGTTTTGCCTCGAATACTATACGGATCAATACTGCCGCAAGCTGAAGGGTGTCATCGATCTGGATCAATGCGAGCAGGTCGACTGCGGGCTGCGCTTGGAGAATCGCAAACAGAAATTTCAGTATATGTTCGACATTAAGACGCCGAAGCGCACATATTACTTGGCTGCCGAGACCGAAGCTAGCATGCGCGACTGGGTGAACTGCATCTGCCAGGTGTGCCATCTGCATGACACCAAGCAATCCAATGAGCTGCCGCTGGGCGCCACAGCCACATCCACAGCAGCAGCAGCCGCCGCTGCAGCAGCAGCAGGTAAGTTTTTAAATGTAACCAAAACTGGTCTGCGGTCACTTTCACCTGTTGCCACCATCCTTTCACACACAGATGGCAATCGCAGCGCACAGCAGCATACCAGCTCCAGTGGGGCCTTAAGCAATTCCACGCAAAACACAACAACCACATCGCTGCACTCGTCGGCTGGGACCACGGCCACCAACTCGCTGCTGCGTCGTCCGGCGGTCATTGATCAGCAGCCGCAGAGCGCCAACAACAACTCGGACTCGGTCTATGTGAATACGGACTACAATAATCGGGAGACGTTGCTCTGCGATGCTCACTTTGATCAGCAACAGTTGCTCTCGGCTGCACAGCAGCAGCCTCCGCCGTCGCCGGCCACGGCGCTCTACTTGAATCAGAGCGCTTTGATTCAAGCTCAGGCGCAGGCACAGGCCGAGCAACAGCAGCAGGCGCAGGCACAGGCTCAGGCCGCAGCCGCACGTCTCGCCATCAATGCGAATGGCGTGGTCCGTAAGCTGCCCGAGCATCTGGTGTTGAATCAACAGACCTTGGCCGAGGCCATGACACAGCAGCAGCAGCACGGCAGCGTCCAGGCATCGCCGGCGCTGAGCACCGCCTCCGGGCCGTATATACCCATTAGTGAATGCTTCACGGGCAGCCCCAAGTTCTTACTGGATAGCCATGCCAATGCAGCGGCTGCCCTCAACAATTTGGATCCCAAATTCTATGATACACCGCGCAGTCACAATAATATTGGCCTCAACCTGACCAACGATCAATCCTATTCACCCAAAATAACCAACTGCAGCGTGGTGAGCTTTCAAATTTAAAATACTCTTCTGTTTAATCTTTGCTAATTGCATTTGTTTTGGCAGCAGCAACTGGCCAATGCCAGCGGGAAGCAGCGCAGTCAGCGCTCCGACTCGGACTCAGAGAGTGTCTTCACCGACGACGACGAGTGGGCGCATCCGTTACCCCTGCGCGAGAATGTTGGTAGGTTGGATATAAAAAGATTGGACCCAATGCTCCGTCTTAAATTAGTTGTTTCTAATGAATTGTTTCTGCTTGCAGATCGCAGCACGCGCCCTTCGGATAGTTCCATAGAGAACGAGTCTTTTGTATTGACCTATTCGCAGCGCTTCTCCAAGATGCCTGAAGACGGCGCTGCGTTGCCGACCCCAGGCACTGAGAAGCACGCCAAACAACTGGGAGCAATAGCAGCAGCAGCCGCAGATGGCGCGGGTGAGCATCACACGCTGGAGAAGCTGGCCAAGGTGCTGAAGAACAAAAATAATCTTATACTGGACTTTAAGGATAATGAAAAGTATTTAAAATGCACACCTAATCTCTATAGTTGGCAACCAAAACCTAAACTCCCGCCTTACAGATTACAACGTGATCTGCCGCAGCTGTCGGACACGGAGAACACATCGCCAGCTATTGTGGCGTCACGGCATGCCAATTCCTCGTTGATCGAAGAGAGCTATGACATTCCACGTTCGCATCAGTTGCCCTATTGCAACGTGGGGCAATTGCTGGGCGAGCGACCGGTTACCAGTCCGCACAACAGCAATCCCATAGCGGCATCCACGCCCAATCTAATGGCTGATGCGTGCGCTGCTGCGCCAGCTAATCCCGGCCAGGTGGCATCCAGCACAACAACAACAGCACCCGTCAATTCCCCAACCAGTGCGCGCACGCTGCCCCGCCAGCATTGCTATACGAACGCGGCGCCCACTCGAATGGAGGGCAATGTGTTTCGCTATGATTTCATTGAGCAAGCCGATTGCCCGCCAGTTAATCGCAAACTCAAGCCCAAGGTGGCCAATTTGCCGCTGGAGGCAACCCACAAGAGCAGCGTCGAGGACAGGCCGCCTGAAGAGTTTCCAGCCAAGCCGCCCGTCGCTGCCATGGAGCAGCTGAACAGCAAATTGAGCGCCACCAAGCTGCAGTCAAGCGCGCCGCCCAGCGTGGATCGGAAATGCAAACCAAATGCGTATAAAGTATGCAATGCTATATATCAACTTTTATGTAAGCTAATTATATTTGCTGTTCCGCTGTAGCTGGGCTCCTCGGCCACCATGTCGCCGGCCACGCGTCGGTCTACGGGCGCACCGCTCTCGATGGTGCTGCCGCATGAAACGGATGTGCACTCGCCGGCAGCAATTGCCTATTTCCATGAGACGCGCACACTGCCGCGCCAGCAACATCGCCAGCATCCCAACAGCCCCGGCAGTCAATCGGTGCAGCATCAACGCACCGCCTCAGCAGCAGCAGCCATGACCTCAACAGCAGCAGCTGCAGCGGCGGCGGCAGCGGCACACAAACAAAGCCAGCAGGCAGTGCAGCAGCACTCGGAGCACAAGCTACAGTACTTTGATCTTGATGTGACCAATAAACCGCCGTTGCTCAACAGGCAGAGCATGAGCGTGGGCAATCTGTACGCCCAGGGCGGCGCCGGACTGGGTGGTGTGCGTCTGGGTGCCACGGATGCGGCGGCAGTGCGTGCGCCCGTACAAAGCAGCGTTGTCTACAATTTCGTGGACTTTGTCAAGACGGAGGCGTTCAAGCGCATACGCGAGGAGCGCAACAAGGAGAGCAGCGAGAGTGGCGGCGGCGGCGGCTCCAACAAATGAGCTGCACATGCTTCCAAAATCCATGACTCACATGTTCAATGTGCAATAGCGTCATGCGAATCTGTTGTAGTGCCTACGAAAGCTGTCTAAACAGTGCAAACTCTAAGTGGCTTTGACATTCATATTCATATTGAACACTCACACACATCCATATCCATATCCATATACATATACATATACAAATTGATTATATATAGCCGATAAGTTAGGTATTTTAAGCATATTTGTGCCCTCAGCATCGCGTTGTGTGCTTTTTAAATGTCTCTATAAAGATGGTTTTTGTCTTTTCATTGTGCTTCCAATTTGCAAATCAAAGCGTGTTTAACTATTTTATATATAAATATGTATTTACACACACACACTCACACACAGAAACTAATTTATATACACCACGAATTTTTTATGGTAACAAATTATATAACAAATTTTATACTAAGCTTAAGTGTAACTCGTGTACGACACAAGCTGTGGCTTGATATTGTGCTTTAATAAATCAACATTTATAGAACTATATTCATAAGGAGCTGGACACTTAATGGAATTCCACTCAAAATTGGAATTCCAGTCTCGAAATTAGTTGCTTGTGAATATTAATCAAATGATTTTATTAATTTAATTATAATTTATCTCTTTTCTCAAATACATTTTGATTCTTCTCGAGAATTGTTGACAGGGAACAGGGCGTCTCTTGTGTAATTTAACATCAAATTATCCTATAAAAATTTCGTTTTGTAAGATTTTATTATTTTAAATTATGTGAAACTATATGTCTGTCCCATTTTTAGAGCTATAGCTTAATGCCAACTCCAGCGACGCCCACAAATATTGCATACACTAAAATCTCCCACAGTTACAGTTTAAGAGCTAGTGCATTGGGCTTACAGTTTTAGAGGTATTAAGCCCAGATTCAAGACGACTCTCTGAAACTGTTTTCAATTTCTTTTTTGTTTATTAATACTACATATTGTCAATGTATAACGTAATCCATATGATTGAAAGGGATTAGCAGCAGATATAGGGAAATTTAATGGTTGACTAGGTGGATCCAATCCCAACTAGAGGATATTAACTAAAACTTTGCCCTCCAGTAGTTTACAGTCTAATGTTTCTCAAAGAATTTAATAAACTTTATTATTATTAATTATTATATTAGCTTGAATTCTTAAAACTTTGAAACCAATCTGAAATATGTTTAAAAAAAATTCTAAATTTTTTTTTAAGCAATAACTTTTCTCTGCGAATAATATCGATCGGTTTGAAGTTTTAAAAACATGTTGAGGACTTATATTTAATAGGTTGCTAGAGCAACAACAAGCATTTGATTATTGTAGCAACAGTGTTTGGAGCTGCTTTTGAAACTTGGCAACGATACAAAAGGATGTTACTTACTTATATATAAATTTGAATACAAACTAGCATTACAAAAATATTTTCAGTACAATACAGATTTCGAGATAGTTATATGTATATATTTGTTAAGCGAAAGGAGGAAGCTCTCTCTTTAAAGCTAAAATCATGTCGCTGGTCTACATAACACATCACAATGAGAATATCTTTGATATGGAACGCGAGCCCGACAAGCCGCAGGAAGCGAGCTTAGAGGTTCATGGTGGGTAGAAAGCACAAGGCTATGAGGCGACTGTCTCTAATCTCACTCTCACTCTCTCTCTCTCTCAACAGCTACATCCAAGAAGGCAGCCAAGTTCTCCAAGGGTCTGCGCGATCGTCTGAGCATGGAGTACAAGAAGCATTCGATGATTACGCTTCAGGATGGCATGCGTCTGCTCACGGATGCCAAGAAGTCGTATCATCGCACCATGGGCTGTGCCAATGTGCCGCTGGATGCGCCCTGCGCTTATCTGCGCAAGAATCAGGGCGTCAAGTGGCGTCGCGAGAATCTGCACGTGTGTCCCAAGGGTGCACAAATGCCGCCGCTGCCGGCAATTGGCAAAAAGGAAACGAAGGCCGATATGGTGCCCAATTTTGTGCTGCGCAATATCAGGTGTGCACGGAGCACTGTGCGCTGCCCGCCGCCGCCGCGCTACGTGGACACACCCGTGGGCACACGCCAGAATTTGCTCAACTCGGGCATGGTGCCGCAGTTTGTGTGCCGCAAGGACTTCGGCAAGGTGCCCGTCTACATTGAGAAGACCAAGAAGATGCTTAAGCAAATGCACGGCGTTTGCTGCAAGGAGCAGGCACGTCTCATGGAGCTCTGCGGCGGCATGAAGCCGTCCGAATCGATGGAGGCTCTCACTAAACCGACGCGTGCCGACGGTGCACCACCCGAAATGCCCGGCATGCGCGTCATGGATCAAGCGGAGCGCAACGATATACTTGTTGGCCTGCGCGCCCATTTGAATGAGATGACCAAGAGCTATCAGTCCATGTCCCTGCTGATCGACAGCGAGAATAAGCGTCAGCGCAAGGGCAAATTGGAGAGTGATCTGCGCCAGCTCGAGCAGGATATATTGCTGCTAGAGACCAGTCCTATAATTTATGTTTCACTGTATTAACCTATGTACTGACACACACTCACACACACTAAAGGGGAGCACGCACGCACGCACACACACACGTACACACAAACGTACACACACATGCACACTTAAAAAGTACGTTAAAATAAAAATTTAACGGCCATGTTCTAAATTCCGAAACCTTGTCAAATCCGCAAAGTTTCGTAAATACTCAAAAAAAAAACTGGCTGCCTAAAGAATTGCGGAATTGATTCGGCATCTGAATTTGGAATGGCTCGCTTCATGTTTATGCATCCAACAGCTCCAAGGTGTACGATCCATGACAGCAGGGACACAGCAGCACGCTGCCCGGCGCATAAAGCTCCAGGAGCAGCTGCCGCTCCAACAAAGCCGGCCGTCCGCACAGCGTGCAATAGTGCCGCTCCAGCGTGGGCAGCAGCTATGGACAATACAAATATATGATATAGATCTTGGATAAAGGCACATAAGTTAGCCCACGCCCACCTGCACATAGGAAACGCTGCATAGCTGTTGATCCGACGCATCGGCCACTTCTGCTCTATCGGGCACATTCAGTTTCAGCTGCAGCTGCTCGAAGTGCACCTCCATTTGGGCCAGGAAACGTTTTATAACCGCATGGGGCGCTTGCACCCGTTGCAGCTGCCGCTGCTCCAGCTGTTCCCTGATGCGCACACTCTCCGCCAGCTGACATAGTGCCGACTGGCGTTGGAATGCCGTCAGCTCCGTCTGCAGGCTGCTCAAGTACTGGAGACGCAGTCGCATATGCGTGAGGGCCAGCATGGCCAACAGCAGATGCAGCTCCTGCTCGAATTGCTCGAGCAGCGTTTGATTGCGTTGATGTCGCTGCATCTGAATGAGCGCATCCAATATGTGGTACTTGAGCTGCAGCTGCTGCAGCTGGGCTTCGGTGGCCAGATCATCGAAGGCAATCATATCGAATGGGGCATAGTTGATATACTCCTCCAGCTGGGCACATTGAAAGATCTCCAGACGCATGTCCACCAACAGATCTCGACAGCTGTTGATGGGCTGGGTGGGATTGATGCGACGTTCTAGCTGCACCAGCGCCTGGCTATTCTGGATTCTGCCCACGCGCACGTGGAGCATATGACGAGTCACCGTCTTGTTGAGCAGAAACTCCTTGCTGCGCGTGTACAGAATGGTCAGCAGATTCTTGCTGGGACTGCAGCACAGGCCGACTGGCTGGTAGTTTTCGGCATCCTCCACACCAATCGGCCGCATGCTGGCGCTCAGCTGGTCGGGCTTATGGCTGAGCTCGATGTGATATAGTTGCCCACGTGCCGTGACCAGAGCATAGTTGCAGTTCTCCAGAGCGCAGAGACCTGTGTGTGTGGACAGAAGTTTTTATTATCAAAATGTACAGCAGATGGTTGTCTGTAGCTCACCCGTGATCTTCATGCCACCTGCATGCAGTCGCGTCTCCAGCCAGTCCCCCTCCTCCTGCTTGGGCATGCACCAGATCAGCAGATGCGCCGCCTTGCAGCAGGCTATATAGTAGCAATCGCGCTCCGAACAGTGGGTAATCAGGGCCTCCTGCAGGCCCATATGATCCGGGCGCAGCCACAGCGTTTTCACCAGACATAGACCCTCCTCCGCCTCCTCTTCCGATGTGCCAAATCTGTACAGATGCACTAGGCCGTTGTGATCGCCCACAAGCAGTAGATCCTCGTAGATGTGCATAAAACAAATGCGACCCAGGAGCGTCTGCAGCTCGCTATGGTCCAGGACAGTGGCTGCATTGGCGCACAGGGTCAGCGTCCATATGCTGCCGGCAGCTGTGCCCAGGACGAGCACATAGTTGCCGCTGTCCACTGGACGCCACGCAAACATGGTTATCCAGCTGCGATCCACAAATGCCTGATATTGCCGGAATGTGTTGATCTTGATGGCGGGCACTTCGTATGGTGGCTGCAGTGTATCCCGCAGAGTTGCGGTCACGTTGAGACCCTTCTCGTACTGTCGCCAAAGCGGCTGCTCTGGATTTTTGCGCAGCAAATGCAGCGCTCCATAGCTGTTCAATGTGCCCAACAGCATTTGGCCATTGGGCAGCGGTTGGGTAGACAATTTGGCGGCCAACCAATTGGGCAGCGGCACATCCTGCGAGCAAACAGCCGTGTAAGCCGGCTCCAGGCTGAGCTGTTGCATCTCCAGCACATTGCTGCTCTCGTAGATATTCTGGAGATTCACCTGCAGCGACAGCTGGTCCAGTGGTCGCTTCTTGTTCGCACACTTCCAGCTGGCCACAACGTAGGGAAAGGGCAGCTGAAGGTTCGACTTGCTGTTCAATTCCAGGGTAAGCAGCTCCGTCTTGGACCCGAGCAGCGAAATGCAATCGCCATCCGTTGTGTAGGCCACAAAGTCATGGACAGTCTCCTGCCTGAGATCGCTCTTGGACAACAGTTGGAATGACATCGCTGCTCCAGCTGCGGCAGAAAGAAGGAAGGAGTGGAATGGAATAAGGGAGGCAGATGCACTGAGCACGAGATTATCTCTATGAAAGGTAAGTTACGTGTAGCCAATCTATTATGTATAAAACTAAAGCATCAGGCGTCTATTACGTGTTTCATCCATAAAAAAACTAAGTATGAATTTCATAAAAAACCGGGCAAGGTCGAGTAATATAGTATCTATAAATGAACATTTTCATAACTGGCCAATCTACTTCAATCTAATTTTGAAACCTATGTATGTAAAATTTAATACACATACAGAAATATAACATGTGCATACATATGTTTTTTGCTCCTGTCATACAAAACGTTCAACAAGTTTACTTCCTGTAAAACCTGTTGCTTAGCGCAGCCTCTCTATTCGATTCTCATTAATTCAAGTAAGGCTTACAGTTTGGTGCTGCGTTGATAAATAAAAAGTAATATTTTAACAAGTTGGGCAACACAACATTTTATCTTTGATTGTGCTTTAACTCTAATTTACTCTTGTCCTTTCTATCTCGCTCTTACTCTCACTTTACTGCTATTTGTCTTGTTCTTACTCTAATCCACTCTCTACTTCTTTTCTTTCAGTAATGCCTCCATTTTTCTACTAATTAAGCTTCGTAAGTGTGTATGTGATTTTATGGGTAAGTACATAATTGAATATACTTGTAGCTATATATACCTTTATAAATTAGAATATATGTATATTGGGATGCATATATAAGAGTATATATTAAGGCAATTCAGACGGGTGACTTGCTAGTCTTCCATTTTTTATTGCTGAGAATTATCATTATCATCATCATGATTATTATTATTAGTTCTTCATATTACTTTTTTGTAAGTCTTGAGCTTTTAGTTCTTTTTCCTTATCACATTGCCGGCAGACGCAGACGCGTACAGAGCGAGCAAAACAAATGCGTGAATTTCACATGTCGCCCGTCTAGACTTTGCCTCAGTTAATTTGGCAACACACACACACACACACACACGAGCCCTATGTAAATTTTTTATATATGTAGCTCGTTTTACACTCACCTTTGTCATCGCTAGCGCTTGCTTCAGTAGCTTTTTTCATTTCAAAGCGCTCAGTACGGTGGAAAGAGAGCTGCTAGGCAGACGTAATTAATAGACAATGTCAGCTAAGAATGGCGTCGAAATGGTAAAAAAAGTTGCCGAATTTATATCCAAAGGCACAAGTTTCGATCGAGTCACACAAATGGTAAGTGGACGCCAAATATTCGCGGAAAGAAAAGTGCAAAAGCGACGCACCAAACAGCTGACATCAAGTCTCGATATTATATAAGCTGTGTTATCGATAACGCGCCGCATTTAAACTGTTGCAGGTGAAAATAACAAAAGGCGGCGAAGGGCGCTGCGTGGGTGAATTTATTGTCTCGGCCGAGCACCTGAATCGCCTGGGCTCATTGCATGGCGGCCTAACGGCCACTATTTTGGACAATGTAACTACGTACGCACTCATGTCGAAGGGCTCACATCCGGGCGTCACATCCAGCCTGAGTGTGAGCTATTTGGCTGCGGCAAAGCCGGGAGATTGTATAGAAGTGGATGCCAAGACGTTGCATGCAGGCCGGAAAATGGCCTACATTGAGTGCGTGTTGCGAAACAAAGCGGATGGCAAAATCATTGCCAAGGGCGGTCAAACCAAATACGTGGACTTTAACACGTAAACGAGCTAATTAATTTAGTTATGAAATTAAATAAATAAGAGATAGCTAACTCTGAGCTATGCTCCATTGCTATCTCTGCTAGTGACGTCACAGCTTATAAGCGAAGCCCATAAATGCGTTATCTGTTCATTGTGAAAGTCGTGACTTATCGATAGTTGGCAGCGCCCATCACTTGCACTTGTTGTTATTGTTTTTGCATTGCCGTTTACACGTTTCGTAACAATACAAATATGGGAACGCGCAAAAAGGGCCTGGAATTTGCAAAGCACATCTCTGAGATTATAGCTAAGGCTACAGGTTTTGAGCGGCACCTGGAAAAGGTTGGCAATAGACATCGAAAGCCGCTTGACACGTTTAAAACCTTGTAGCTTTCACTAGGTAAAAATTCTGGACGGCGGCGATGGCCTTTGCACAGCAGAATTCACCGTGGCGCCGGAGCACCTGAACAAAGCCGGCGGCTTACACGGCGGCTATACGGCAACATTGGTGGACATGATAACGACCTATGCCCTGATGTCCAAGCCCTGTCATCCGGGTGTGTCGGTTGACATCAACGTTAGTTACCTGAAGTCGGCCCGTGTGGGTGACGAGGTGCTCATTGAGGCAAACTTGGTGCGGGCCGGAAAATCGCTCGCCTTCATCGATTGCCAGCTGCGGCATAAAAAGGATAACTCTGTGATAGCCAAGGGCACGCACACCAAATACGTTAACTTTCAGCAGTAGATAGTGTGCTAAGTTTTGATACTGTGCTTTATTGTTACATGTGTAGCAGTAAATATTTAGTTAATTAATTAATTAATTGCTTTGCTCTGTGCGCGTCTTGGTTAGAGTTGTAGGCGGCTTCCGTCGATTGGGAGAATGTCTATGTGACGTATCGCGTCAAGATTCCTTTTGCAACTGCATTTGTGTGCGTTAAAAATCGTATATTTAAAGATTTTCTTGTTAAATCTAAATGGAATCCGCCTTTTAGTGTTAATGTGGCTACTAAGTTTTAGGGGATTTGATTAATTGTTAAGTCGATATGCAAACTGCCGTGTCCAGTGCCCAGCTCAGTCGACCGGCTTGGTCATGACCGGGCAGTGCGGGCAACAGGCCTCCGGAGGTGTCATCGGTTCGATGCCCGGCGGGCAGC